CAATCAGCCAAACTTTTTCCTTCCTTCCTTCCTTCCTTCCTTCCTTCCTTCCTTCCTTCCTTCCTTCCTTCCTTCCTCTCTCTCCTTTGACAGTACACAATAAGCCAAGCTTCCTTCCTTCCCTCCTTCCTTCCTTTTCTCTTTCTCTCCTTTCTTCCTTCTTTTCTCTTTCTTTTTTTTTTCTTCCTCTCCTTCCTTCCTTCCTTCCTTCCTTCCTTCCTTCCTTCCTTCCATCCATCCATCCATCCATCCTCTCTCTTCCTTCCTTCCTTCCTTCCTTCCTTCTTCCTTCCTTCCTTCCTTCCTTCCTTCCTTCCTTCCTTCCTTCCTTCCTCTCTCTCCTTTGACAGTACACAATAAGCCAAGCTTCCTTCCTTCCCTCCTTCCTTCCTTTTCTCTTTCTCTCCTTTCTTCCTTCTTTTCTCTTTCTTTTTTTTTCTACCTCTCCTTCCTTCCTTCCTCTTCCTTCCTTCCTTCCTTCCTTCCTTCCTTCCTTCCTTCCTTCCTTCCTTCCTTCATTGCCGTGAAAGGCTACCTGGAAGACCCCATCCCCATATGTGTGTTAATGTGTGTGTGTGTTAATGTGTGTGTGTGTTAATGTGGGTGTTAGTGTGTGTGTGTGTGTTTCCCCCATTGGGGTCCATTTCCCAAGATGTCAGCCAGTCAACCAAAACCCCGAAGGGAGGGAGCGAAGAAGAAGGTGCGGAAGGAAGGGGAGAAGGAGACTTTGGGGGGGAAGAGAAGGGGCAATTGGGGGGAGAATAAAAATCTTCCTATAAAAATAGAGACATTGACCGAACATAGAGTGGGGGGGGGAGGGGGGAGGAGGAGAGTGGGCCCCCCCCCCGGTACTTTGGCCTCCACTGACCACTGGCCTTTCTTGAGGGGTGGGGGGCCCTTCAGCTGCCCGGGAGGCCCTTGCCCTTCTCGCCCTTGGCGGGGGCCCCTCCGGCCCCGGGGACCGCTTTGGGGGCCCCTCCCGATGCCCCCCTCCTGGGTGGGCCCCCCACGGGGCTCCCGGGGCTGAAGTCATCCGCGTCGTTGTCCGAGCTGCACTCGCTGAGGTCGGTGATCTCCAGCTCCGAGTCGGGGTCCTCTTCTGGGGCCCCGGGCCCCCCCGGGCTCTGTGGGCGGACCCCCGTGGGGGGCTCTTTCTCCCCGCGAGAGGAAGGCCTGGCGTGGGGGGCCAGGCAGAGGCGGGGGAGGGGGGCCCCGCACCCCAGGGCCCCGGGGCCCCCCTCGGCCGCCAGGAGCGAGGCCACGGGCCCCACGGAGGAGGGCAGCGGGGGCGCCAGGGACCCCGCCAGCGGGTTGGGGTAGAAGTGGGGCGAGTAGAGCGAGGCCGGCAGCTTGGAGCCCCCCAGCGGGAAGGCCCCCGACAGGTACGGGTTGAAGCCCCACGGGAAGTCCCCAAAAGACGAGATGCCACCGCCGCTCCGGCCACCGCTGGACACTGCAGTCACGCCACCGCCGTAAGGGGTCAGCAGGCCGCCCCCGGGGGGCTTCGAGAAACCCCCCGCCACACCTGCAGGGAGGAAGAAGAAGAAGAGGAAGGCAGTGAGAGGAGAGAGAATGGAGAGGGGCCCCCACCCCAGAGGACATCCAGTCCAACCCCCTTTCGCCATAAAGAAAGGCAACACCCGATCCCACCTGGCAGAGGGCCAGCCAGACACTGCACAACAACATCAACAATAATAGAATGAAATCCTAGAGCTGGAGGGGCCCCCAAAGGCCATCCAAACAATAATGGAATCAAATCCTAGAGCTGGAGGGGCCCCCAAAGGCCATCCAAACAATAATGGAATCAAATCCTAGAGCTGGAGGGGCCCCCAAAGGCCATCCAAACAATAATGGAATCAAATCCTAGAGCTGGAGGGGCCCCTAAAGGCCATCCAAACAATAATAGAATGAAATCCTAGAGCTGGAGGGGCCCCCAAAGGCCATCCAAACAACAACAGCAATCCATCCAGCCCAGCCCCCTTCTTCCTGGCAGGCAGCGAAAGCACAACCCAAGGAAGCGCCTGTCACTGGACATGGCTGTGGTGAAAGTGGCCAGCTGTACGTGTAAGGCTGACCGCTATCCTCACCTGACCCCAGGAAGGGGAAGGCGGCCTCCAGGCGCAGCTTCTCGGTCTCCGTCTGGCGGTCAAAGAGTGGGTTGCGGGCAGAAGGGTCCCCCAGGCGGGGGCCGCCAGAGAAGAGGCTCTGAAGGGCCTGGCCGGAGAGGAAGGGGAGACAGGGGTCAGCCCAAAGGCCCCGAAGGGCAAGCGGGGGGGGGGGTCACCTCTGGCCCTCCCCAGGCATTGCTCATTTCCACATTGAGGCCAGGCCGACACCACATGCCCAACACTGATGTAACACCCCAGGAAGGAAGGAAGGAAGGAAGGAAAAAGAAAGGGAGGAAACAGAATGAAGGGAAGAAGAAAAAAGGAAAGGAAGGGAGGAAGAAAGGAAAAAGCAGGCAGGAGAGAGGGAAAAAGAAGGGGAGGAAACAATGAAGGGAGAAAAGGAAGGAGAAAAGGAAGAAAGGGAAGAAGAAAAGGGGAGAAAAAAGGCAAGGAAGGGAGGAAAGAAAAAGAAGGGAGGAGGGAGAAAGAAAGGGAGGAAACAGAATGAAGGGAGAGAGAAGGAAGGAAGGAAAGGAAAGGAAGGAAGGAAGGAAGGAAGGAAGGAAGGAAGGAAGGAAGGAAAGAATAAGGAAGAAGGAAGGAAAGAAGGGAAAAAGAAGGAAGGAAAAAGAAAGGGAGAAAACAGAATGAAGGGAGAAAAAGGAAGGAAGGAAGGAAGGAAGGAGAAAAGGAAGAAAGGGAAGAAGAAAAGGGGAGAAAGAAAGGAAAGGAAGGGAGGAAAGAAGGGAGGAGGGAGGGAAAAAGAAAGGGAGGAAACAGAATGAAGAGAGAAAAAGAAGGAAGAAAGAAAAAAAGGTAGAAAGGGAAAAAGAAAAAAGAGGAAAAGGTAGAAAGGGTAGAAAGGGAAAAAGGAAGTGTGAAAGGAAGGAAAAAGGAATGAGGAAGAAAGAAAGAAAGAAAGAAAGGAAAAAAAACAAGGGAGGGAAAAGAAATAAAAGAAAAGAAGGAAGGGAGAAAGAGGAAAGAAAAAGAAAGAAAAAGGAAGGGAGAAAGAAAAAGAAATTGAGAGAGAAATAAATACACAGAGAAAGGGAGAAAAAAGAGGAAGTAAAAGGAGGGATTGAAAAAGGAAGAAATGAATGAATGAAGAGTGAAGGGAGAAAGAAAGATAAGAAAAAGGGAGGGAGGGAGGGAGAAAGAAAGAAAGGGCGAATGAGAGAGGAAGGAAATAAAAAGGGGAGAAGTAAGGAAGGAAGGAAAAAGGAAAGGAGGAAGGGAAAAAGAAAAAAGGGAAGGGAGATGGAAGGGAGAAAAAGAAAGAAGAAGGAAAAAGAGGAGGGGGAAGGAAGGAAAAAGAAAAAGGAGGAAAGAAAAAAAGAAAGGGAGAAAACAGAATGAAGGGAGAAAAGGAAGAAAGCGAAGAAGAAAAAGAAAGGAAAAGGAAGGAAAGAAAGAAAGGGAAGGAGACAGGAAGGAAAAGGAATGAGGAAGAAAGAGAAAGATAGGGAAAAGAATAGGGATGGGGAAAGGAAGATGGAAAGGAGAAAGAGGAAAGAAAGAGAAAGAATGAGGGGGAAAAGAAAAAGAAAAAGGGAGAGAGAAATGGAGGCAGAGGAAGAGAGAAAGAAATAGAGGAAGTAAAAAGAAGGATGGAGAAAAGGAAGAAATGAATGAATGAAAGCTGAAGGGCGAAAGGAAGGAAAAAGAGGGAGGGAGGAAGAAAGAGGAAGGGGAAAAGTCAGAGAGGAAAGAAATAGAAAGGAAATGAGGAAGGGAAAAAGAAAGGAAGGAAGGAAGGAAGGAAAAGAAAGGGAGAAAGAAAAAAGAAAGGGAGGAAACAGAATGAAAGAAGAACGAGCGAAAGGAGGAAAGAACAGCAGCAACAATCCCATTTCAGTGCTAATTATGCCTTTCCTTGGGAAGTGGGGTGCTCCAAGACCCCTGATTTTGGCCTTTGACCTCTTCCCCAAGTGGAGCAGGCCTGGCCTGGACACTCGAGTGACCATTCCCCTGCGGAGAAGGCAAGTTACCTCTTGGGTGAGTGGGGGGCACTCGGCCCCGTGGCCCCCTCCTCCTCCTCCGCCTCCCCCTCCTCCCCCTCCAAAGGGGTTCTGGGCCAGGAGGAAGGGGGAGCTGGCGGCCATGTCCAGCAGCGGGTAGTTGACCAGCACCACTTTGCTGAAGTTGAACTTGTAGGTGAAGCGCTTGCCCTTCGTCTTGTGCAGGATGCGCTTGTTGTAGTAATACCTGGACACGGGGGGAGAGGGAGAAGGGAGGGGATGGGCAACGGTCAAGCAGGGAGTCCTGTCCTGCAAGCCCCCCCCCCAAAAGGCCATCTAGTCCATAGAGCACACACAGAGAGAGATAGAATCCCAGAGTTGGAAGAGACCTCAAGGGCCATCCAGTCCAACCCCATTCTGCCAAGAAGCAGGGAAATTGCATTCAAAGCACCTCTACAACTGAGAGAGAGAGAGAGAGAGGTGATACATCTATATATATAAGAACCTTAAGGTCGTAATTAGGCGGTCAAAAACGGCTAAACCACTGGACGAAATCTCACCACATAGAGTCAGAAAGGGCCTCCAGATATCAGCTAGTCTAATCCCATTCTCCCAGGCAGGAAGACACCATCTGATCCCTCCCAACAGATGGTCCAATAGCACAGATTGATACAATTGAGAGAGAGATGATACTTATAGTATCCTAGAGTCTATGATATAGGCCATCTAACCCATATTGCACAAATAGTTTATACACACACACACACACACAACAGAATCCTAGAGTCAGAAGGGACCTCCAAAGGCCATCTAGTCCATGTAGCACAAATAGTTTATATATATATATGGACTTAATGTCAGGGGACTACCTTTACCTTTACCTATACACACACATACATATACATACACACACACACAATAGAATCATAAGAGTCAGAAGGGACCTGCAAAGGCCATCTAGTCCATATAACACAAATAGTTTATTGTGTGTGTGTGTATATATATATATATACACACACACACAATAAACTATTTGTGTTATATGGACTAGATGGCCTTTGCAGGTCCCTTCTGACTCTTATGATTCTATTGTGTGTGTGTGTATGTATATATATATACACACACACACAATAAACTATTTGTGTTATATGGACTAGATGGCCTTTGCAGGTCCCTTCTGACTCTTATGATTCTATTGTGTGTGTGTGTATGTATATATATATACACACACACACAATAAACTATTTGTGTTATATGGACTAGATGGCCTTTGCAGGTCCCTTCTGACTCTTATGATTCTATTGTGTGTGTGTGTATGTATATATATATACACACACACACAATAAACTATTTGTGTTATATGGACTAGATGGCCTTTGCAGGTCCCTTCTGACTCTTATGATTCTATTGTGTGTGTGTGTGTATATATATATATACACACACACAATAAACTATTTGTGTTATATGGACTAGATGGCCTTTGCAGGTCCCTTCTGACTCTTATGATTCTATTGTGTGTGTGTGTGTATATATATATATACACACACACAATAAACTATTTGTGTTATATGGACTAGATGGCCTTTGCAGGTCCCTTCTGACTCTTATGATTCTATTGTGTGTGTGTGTGTATATATATATATACACACACACAATAAACTATTTGTGTTATATGGACTAGATGGCCTTTGCAGGTCCCTTCTGACTCTTATGATTCTATTGTGTGTGTGTGTATGTATATATATATACACACACACACAATAAACTATTTGTGTTATATGGACTAGATGGCCTTTGCAGGTCCCTTCTGACTCTTATGATTCTATTGTGTGTGTGTGTATGTATATATATATACACACACACACAATAAACTATTTGTGTTATATGGACTAGATGGCCTTTGCAGGTCCCTTCTGACTCTTATGATTCTATTGTGTGTGTGTGTGTATATATATATATACACACACACAATAAACTATTTGTGTTATATGGACTAGATGGCCTTTGCAGGTCCCTTCTGACTCTTATGATTCTATTGTGTGTGTGTGTGTATATATATATATACACACACACAATAAACTATTTGTGTTATATGGACTAGATGGCCTTTGCAGGTCCCTTCTGACTCTTATGATTCTATTGTGTGTGTGTGTGTATATATATATATACACACACACAATAAACTATTTGTGTTATATGGACTAGATGGCCTTTGCAGGTCCCTTCTGACTCTTATGATTCTATTGTGTGTGTGTGTGTATGTATATGTGTGTGTGTGTATAGGTAAAGGTAAAGGTAGTCCCCTGACATTAAGTCCATATATATATATAAACTATTTGTGCTACATGGACTAGATGGCCTTTGGAGGTCCCTTCTGACTCTAGAATTCTATTGTGTGTGTGTATATATATATATATAAATAACTGACTCTAGCATTCTATGATATACGAATCATAAACACACAATAAAATCCTAGAGTCCAAAGACCTCCAAAGGCCATCTAGTCCATAATAGCACACATAGATATACTTGAGATATATTTACATATAATTCATATATATTAGAATCCGAGAGTCAGAAGGGAGCTCCAAAGGCCACCTAGTCCAATCTCATTCTGCCAGGGAGGAAGACACCATCTGATCCCTTCTGACAGACGGCCATCCAGCCATAAATGAACAGATATAATTGAGAAAGAGAGGATACAGATATCATAGAATTATAGAGTCAGAAGGCCATCTTGTCCAAACCCATTCTGCCAGACATGAATACACCATCCGATCCCTCCTGACAGATGGCCATCTAGCCATAGATAAACAGATATAATTGAGAAAGAAAGGATACATATTTATTATTATTATTATTATTATTATTATTTTACATATATCATAGAATTATAGAGTCAGAAGGCCATCTCATCCAAACCCATTCTGCCAGACAGGAAGACACCATCCGATCCCTCCCAATAGATGGCCATCCAGCCATAAATAGATACTGTAGAATACTAGCGTTGGAAGGGACCCCCAAATCCATTCTGCCAGTTTTTGCGTATTGTGTTTCACATTGTCCTGAGTGTAGCTCTGTTGCAGAATGTGGGAATGTTGGGAATTGTTGTCCAAATGGATTCTGCATTGATGTGGACCATGGGAATTGTAGTACCAAAGCCTTCCCCTTCTGCCCAGTGGATTTGGCATGGATGCCCGACATGTGTTGTCCTCTGAAGCCGGAGAAAGCATCCTTTTCATCTCGGCGACTTATCGCTTCCCGCTTTTGATCCATCGATTGATCGATCGATCGGTCGATTAAAACCCGCAGGACGGGTCAATAAGGTTCTCCGCCAGGCGCCGCTTTTGATGCTACAAATCCCGCTCTCTTCCGGCTTCCCCTTCAAAGGCCGGCCTTTCCTTCGGGATCATCGATCGATGGGCGGCAAT